CCAAGATGTTCTGGCGCCTTTTGTCCTGGCTTTATTGTGTCCCCGCCAGGGATTTCCTCGCCTTACGAGTGTGATATCCGTGTTGTATTGGTCGAACTACCCGAGGAGCCAACTTTCGAGCCAAATCCACATTGGGTGGAAAATTTCGATCAAAATCTATAGACTAATTGCGTTGAAAATCCGGCCGGTTTTTCAGGAGTGGTGCAGTAATGGGTGAATAGTGCCCAACTGTGTATAAAAGTCACAAACGCTATATGTTTTCACATAGTTTCTTTTTGATGAATACGCCAATTCAAATGCCTCACTTCTAGGGCGGGACCGGATTTCCTGGTGAAATAGGTCATCCGGGTGCTCCAGGTCTAGACGGTCCTGAGGGGCCTCCTGGTGCTCCCGGCATGATCGGAGCCGAAGGTGACTATGGTGACGTCGGACCGAAAGGAGTTCGAGGTGACAGAGGTCTTCCGGGTGCACCTGGTCATCCTGGACTCCCAGGTCTTGACGGACTTCCAGGATTGAAAGGAGAAGAAGGAATACCAGGATGCAATGGTACAGATGTGAGTGTATTGTTGATCAATCTTTGCTTATGAAAATCATTTATTAATTGAATATTAAGGGATTACCCGGACGGCCAGGACTTGCAGGTCCACCTGGACCACCTGGACCCCCTGGAGCTCCCGGAAGACCAGGTCTTCCAGGACTTCCAGGAGAGGGTGGAGTCAATTCAGTCGGACGGAAAGGAGAAAAAGGAAACACGGGAACAGCTGGAATGCCTGGTCAGCCAGGACGCGATGGTTTACCTGGACTGAAGGGATGGAAAGGAGATATTGGACCTCACGGCCCACCAGGATTCCCTGGACCACCTGGTCCAAAAGGAAGAATGGGTGCACGTACACCAGGAGTGAAAGGAGAGAAGGGATTGCAAGGACCTCCCGGATTACCAGGACCACCAGGAGCATTTCCAGGAGCATCTGCTCCAGAAGAGATCGAAGTGCTTCAGGGACCTGTTGGACCACAAGGTAACTCGTCCAATAACTTATTGTCATAGAACTTTATTCGATTTAGTTCTTTGCAGGAGTAAAAGGAGAGAAGGGTCGCGACGGGCCTGTTGGACCGCCCGGAATGATGGGTGTCAATGGCGCAGACGGATATCCAGGTCTGAAAGGACAGAAAGGAGACATCGGTGATGCTGGAAATCGAGTGAGTTGGAGCTTTTCCCTCCCTGTGGACTACTTTGAAAGTGCTTTTTTAGGGAAAACGAGGAAAGGACGGCGTTCACGGGCAGTTTGGTGAGAAAGGATCTCAAGGAGAACAAGGACTCCCCGGTCTTCCTGGATATCCGGGACCCAAAGGAGAAGCTGGAGAACCGGGATATGATGGACGTCCTGGAATTGAGGGAGATGTAGGACCACCTGGACCATTTGGAGAAGGTCACGGAGATGCCGGAGTACGCGGTTTGCAAGGAATAGATGGTGTGCCAGGTCCGAAAGGTTTCTCTGGAAAAGATGGACTCCCAGGAGCTGTTGGACCCAGAGGACCTGTTGGAGCGCCTGGTTCACAAGGAGCACCTGGCCTGGATGGACTCCCTGGCTACTCGGAAAAAGGAGACCGTGGTGAAGACGGATATCCAGGTTTTGCTGGTGAACCCGGTATGCCTGGTGAAGAAGGTGACTGTGGATTGCCTGGTGAGGACGGTCTGCCTGGATACGATATCCAAGGTCCACCGGGAAACGACGGTTTGCCAGGCAGAGATGGATATCCTGGAATTCCTGGAGAAGTCGGTGAACCAGGTTATCCCGGAGAAAAAGGATTCCCTGGAGCAGGAGTGAAAAAGGTTGGTCCACCAGGACAACCAGGACTTATGGGACCTCCAGGAGAAAACGGTAATCATTCAGTATATTAGTTCTTCCTCTTTGATTCATTTACCCTATTGCAGGAAGAATCGGTCTCGATGGTCTGCCGGGAGCCCCAGGAGACAAGGGTCCCCGAGGAGATGACTGCGGATACTGCCCTGATGGTCTTCCTGGACTGAAGGGAGACGCTGGCGTGCCAGGTGTGGACGGATACAAAGGACCTCCTGGTCCTGATGGTGAAAGCGGTGACTGCGGCTTGAAGGGATTGCCTGGAAAGCCGGGATTCCCTGGACCGGATGGACTTCCTGTAGGGAAATTTTGAACTTCCTCTTGCTAATACACATCGGAAAACTATTCTTCATTACAGGGATCAGTCGGATTACCTGGAATTCCTGGTTATCCCGGTTTGAAAGGAGAAGCTGGAGAGATCATTGGCCCAATGGAGAATCCGCCAGGCATTGACGGAGCAAAAGGAGAACGAGGACCTCCCGGTGAGTCGCTTAGGGAGTTTCTAAGGTTGAACCTTCTTGTCCTCCACGCAGCACTGATGTTGGGTCCCCAAACTGCTGCGACTCGAATTTGCGCGACAAGGCTGCTAAGCTTTTGATCGCCTTGCCATTTCTACTCGTTCGCAGCATACGCTATATCTGAGACCTCTAGTACAATATGCTACCGTGGGTATTCCCTCTTTTCGACGCGCGGTATCTCTCTGTCATACCAGATCGACCTTATGCGAGAAAGCGGTCTCTCATTCTTAGTATTTTCCAATTTTTCTTTCGTTTTTTGTTTCTTCATGCACTTTCCCCAATTCCTCTTGCCTGCACTTTTTCATTTCTAACCGCATCACAGACCATATTTTGATGTGGGCCAGTGCCTTATAGTTTTCACGGTAGCCAAGTCTGAGGAATTTCAGACAGCATATAATCGCGCCACCTATCTGCAACTTTTCTCTTTCGACCAGGCGCGTCTTTACTCCGTTTTCTTTCCACTCGCCTTTACGCCGACACGACTTCCTATCATATGGACCCTTCCAATCCCACTTTACGAGCTAACTTAGTAATCCGAGAACAGCATTCGCATTCCCAGTGTAAGAGATTACACAAACGTATATGCCATTCCTGCGGTCCGTGGCGCGTAGTATGACTTTGGACTGATGACTCCCATACCCATATCTCAATATCAGGATACTTGGTCCTTATTTTGATGCGCTTTCCTTGGTTTCCGTCAACTTTAATCTCTGTCAACTTCCTCTATCACAATCATTTTTTCTTTGGCGCTAACATGCCCTCTATTTTTCGATACAACAGGAGCGTAAGCCTAAAGCTTGCCATGAACAGCTGATATTCTCCGCGTTCCAGACGTGCCTGTAAATTGCATCGGCCTAACTTGTTACAGGTGCCATGGTGACGACCGGCTCACAAATAAATCGTATCGCCATGTGCCTTTTCATGCGTCTTCGGAATCTTGAATTCCAGGCAGGTATCGGCCTGCTAAAGACCTGCCGACAAGGGAAGAATTTCTCTTCCAAAATTATAGTTAACTCTCTGACAAATATTCTACTTAACTTTCGGAAGGCTTTTTTTTTTTTCCCAGAACACCACATTAAAGATACTGTTGCAAATTGAATTGCTTTTCGCACGCAGCCATAACTTGACGGATTCTACTTTCCCATTCCATCTTGTGGCATGGAGTTTCAACATGCGATTCTTATAGTCATCTGCTACTTACGGAGCTCGGAACTTAGCGACATGCCGTCTCCCAACCAGAACAGTTTTCGTGACAGTTATTCGATAAGTAATTATCCACTAAAAACGCAAGGATAAAAGAAAAGTAGAATAGAAGACTATAGTACGAATAGAAACAATTTTCAATAAATAGAATCTTTGATATCTGAATGGCTTCAGCTCGGTCTGAACCGTCAGGAACTTTACCAGCCCGATATTCTTTTTTGAAAGGTTTCCTCGGTTAGACTCAGGGGCAATCCCTGAACGCACTCCTTGACCTTTATGATAAATATAAGTTCGAATCATCCGGAGTTGGTAACTACGCCACCGCCGAAACTTGCGTGAACTCCAGTCGGGGGGCACTCCAGTTTTTTCGCAATACTCCAACAATAAGCGATTAGAGGTCTCCACGACGACCTAATCGACTCCACTGTTAAGCGTAGAACTTCTGTTAACTATTTAGTGCTAATGGTGCTGACCTGCCATGACCCAAGGGAACGGTCCTGGACCAGGAGAAAGGACACCTCCGCAAAGGGCTAAGGGTGCAGGAGCTCCCAGGTGGATCACCTGTGCAGAAAAGTGGATGGGATGTGGGCAGGTAGTGTGGAATGTAGGACATCCACCCGTCCTCATCAGTCTAAGAAGTTAACACGCCCAAAATGAGCTCATCTACCTTCATTATCTTAATCCGTAAGTGCTTCGAATCGTCCCAAAGACTGTTCTCACTCGCTACTCCAAACGTAAGCTAGTAACACTGGAGCGCCCACGCCCCCGAACTGACGTTTGCCACACAGACCGAAATTCTCGAGCAGACTATGCCACTCCTCCTGTTCTATCTAAGACATGTACTAAGGTGATCTCACACTCAAAAACGGCTGTTTCCAGGATCCCACGCAAAGCAGGTTTGTCCCTACAGTATCAGCGTCGGTACTACACTCGCTAGGCGATAGCGCCACGTGTTGCCCCGCCCGTTCCCTTTCTTAGTTCATCTTTTCGGTTCGGATATGCAAAGCCTTCTCAGCGCGCACAACTCCGTTCTCGTTTTTGCCATTCGCGCGAACGCTATACTTTACCTTAGTCTATCGAATAGAGTTTTCGCATTAGACATCTGTCTCCGTGGAGGTACTCCAACTAACCGACCGCCCCGGAGGGATGGAAGCTTTGTTGCCTGGCGACTCACGACCTCATGATTTTAGTTCCCGTGACGCTCCGCGTGATAAGTCGTGGCCACTTCGCCACTATACCACCATCCGCCCGTTTAGAATTCTATTAAAGATAATCCTATCGATTACTCCCCGTTTCCAGGCATGTCTGTTTTTCCATCTCATCCCCCCCGCTTGATTAAAGCGTTTCCATGGCACGTTTCCCAAGCCACCGGGGCGCCCCGCAGGGTCAATCTGCCATGTCCACTATTCGACACGAAGGGGTCGTCACTTGTGATTTTGAGAAGTGCCGGGTCGCTCATTATTATGATTGAGCGAACGGTTAAAATACCGGCGTTTCTGGGAAAAAGCGTAAAGCTGCCGGCGTAATAAGAGTGTAATTTGACGCGTTTCCGACTTTGCGAACGCTCATCTCGATAGGCGCCCCGGCAAACATAGTGAACGACGCAACAATTCGGTGATATTTAGCGAGAAAGTGATCCTCATTCTTAGCATTTTCCAATTTTTCTTTCGTTTTTTCCCCTCACTTTCAATCCTCTGTGCCTCTAATTTTTCATTCTGAACACGAGTCAAGACATAACTTTGATCGTGACCAGTGCCTTTAAGTTTTCACGTAGAAGTTGGATTTCAGAAAGATATAATCGGCGGCAGCTACTGAAAGTATTGAGTCACCATTCTCTTCGACAGCCTATTCGTTTTTACTCGTTACGACTTCTATTCATGACCTCAAGCTAACTTTACAGCATAACTTAGTAATCGAGAACGCATTCAGAGTTCCAGTGTAACAGATTTACAACGTAATGCCAACGGTTTTCCCTTGGCGCGCGTGTGATTCTTGACTGATGACTCATAGCACATTCTCAATATCAGGATATGTCTTTTTTGATGCGCTTTGGTTTCCGTCAATTAATCTCTGCCAACTTCCCATCACATCAGTTTTTTGGCTAACATGCCATCTATTTTCGATTACAACAGGAAGGCGTGGCCCAAGTGCTTGCATGTACACTATGTTTCCCGCGTCCAGACGTGCCGTAATTGCGGACCTGACTTGTTACAGTGCATGTGACGACGGCCTCAAAAAACAAATCGATATCGCATGTGCTTTTCGATGCTTTTTCGATTTGATCAGGGCCGTATGCTGCTAGAACCTTGCGCCCGACAATGGGGAAAAAGTTCCTCCAAAATTATCAGTTATCTCTGAAATATTTCTTAACTTTCGGAAGGCTTTTTTTCAAACACATCATAAGATACGATTGCAAATGAATTTTTTCTACCGGAAAAAAAATTGAACGGATTTCTTTCCCACTCACGGCAATGGAGGTTGCAACTGCGACCCGCGATTTTATGTGTGCACGAGACCGAATACGACGTCTCGCCAACCCAGAACAGTTTCTGTGACAGTTTTTGATAGTAATTTGATCCAAATAAAAACGAATTAGAAACAAACTAGTAGAAATAGACACAAAATAAATAAAAAGGTAACAAATAAATATAATAAAGAGTATGTAAGAGAAAGTTCTTCTTCTTATTCTTCAGCGTTTGTCCCACTCTGCGGCGGGGTCCGCTTTTCTGGTATTATGACGCCACTTTTCCCGATTATGTGCTTGATCGGGATGAAGTCCAACTAATTTCAAGTCCTCATGCAACGTATCAAGCCATCGTTGCTTCGGGCGTCCTCTTGGCCGCTTTCCTGGCATGCGTTAAAGTCGGGTAACCCCGGCAGTCCAGCGCAGCATTTTTGTCTCCATCACACTGAGACGAGCCTCAACCTCTTTAGTCACGGGCCAGCACTCTGCTCCGTAAATGGCGACTGGTCGGACGACGGTTCTGTAGATCTTAGATTTCAGTCGCTCTGGTATTTTCTTATCGCAGAGAACGCCGTAACAAGGTACCAATAGATGAATAGAAACAATTTCAATAAATAGACAATCTTGGCTATCTGCAAATGCTCAGCTCGGTTGAAACACGTCAGGAACTTACCACCCGAAATAGTTTTAAAAAGGTTCCCGTCGATTAGACCAGGGGGCAATCAATAACGAATCTCTGACTTTTATGATAAAATATTGAACATCGAAGTTGGGTAACGTTACTCCGAACGGTGAAACTCCAGTTCGGGGGGCCACTCCATTTTTTCTCCAATACTCAAGATAAGGATTAGAGGGCTCACGACACGTAATCGACTCATTTAAAGTAGACTTCTGATAAATATTGGTGTAATGGGTGACCTCCAAATGAACCAGGGAACGGTCCTGGACCAGGAGAAAGGACACCTCCGCAAAGGGCTAAGGGTGCAGGAGCTCCAGGGTGGATCACCTGTGCAGAAAAGTGGATGGGATGTGGGCAGGTAGTGTGGAATGTAGGACATCCACCGGTCCTTATCAAAAGTACGCTCGAAATGAGTCGTTCACTTATTATCTTATCCGTAGTGTTCGATAGCCCAAAGAACTGCTCTCTAGTACTACGGATAAGATAGCAATGGAGTGCCCCCCCCCCCCGAACTGGAGTTTCACCCAAATTCTCGGCAGACTCTTGGCCACCTCCGCGTTCTAAGTAATAGAATTTGATAAGGTGATACCACTCCAAAAACGGCTGTTCTGAGAAGGACGCCACGGAGAAAGGTTGTGTCCTTCGTACTGAGCGCGCTGACTGCAGGGATACACCTGTTCAGCCGTTCTCACTTTTTTAGTTCATTTTCGTGCCTGCAAAGCCTTTCAGCCATCTCTTTTTCATTTCGCGAACACTATCGCCTCACCTTCCTATGACCATAGAGTCTTCCGATTTAGAACATCTGTACGTGAGCAAGCAATTCAACGGTTTGTAGTGTGAATGGGAGCTATCCACATCTTCATTTTGGGCGATCTCTGCTATCTTTATTCAATTCGGAAGGCTTCTATGGCTCCTCTTTCCAGGCGTGTATGTTTTTTCCATCTACATCCCCACCCTTTGATAAACGTTCCATGGAACGTCCACCACCGGGGCGCCAGCAGGATCAACCGTCCGTTCACACTATTCGAACGAGGGGTCCTATTTGTGATTTTGAGAAGTGGGTCGCATTCTTTGATTGAGCAAGGCTAAGTACCTCTGGGAAAACGTAAACGGGTGACGTAAAAAGGGGTTGTATTTGAGCGGTTTTTCGACGAGTTTGGCGAACGCTCATGAAGGCACTGCAAACTAGAAGACAAAATCGGTGGATTTGCCGCTTCATGATACCAATTTACCTCCCAATTAAAGTTTGTCCTATTCGGGGATCCTCCTAAGACTGACTGGAGGTAGTCGCAAAATTATTGGAAAAGTGTGAACGCGACGGTTAACCTGGCGTCCAGCCCTAGTTCGAACCCAAGGCTTCTGAGGATAGTTCATGAAAAATGAATGATTGTCGGAGAATCACTTCCTTCCCCTTTGTCCTTCATAAATTAACATTTTCCGACAGTTTTTTTAGACGCTAAATCTGAATCTACACAACTTTGCTGTCTGAGTCATCGACTTCTGTCAGCTGTCAAATCTCATGCAAACAATAGTTTTCAAACAATCCTAGGCAGACCAGATCTGTGAGGAGCTATAGGGAGCACATTCCCTCTCTTTTTTTCGTAGGCCGTAATGTGAAGCAGCTGCTCGACGGCCATTTACCAGCACACTCATAGACGACCTGAATTTGACCCGAGTGAACCGATGTAAGCTCAACGATCTATCGATTTTATTCCTCATTGATTACTCGAGGAACTCGGCATCTCACAGGCTCAGTTTTGGACAAAATTTAGTACTGCTAAAACTTTACCTCTGCTAGGTGTATAGCTGATAAGGGGCACAGAACAAGAAATAGTTAGAAGAGTATTTTCAGTACAGAGCATCCAAGACTTTTGAGAACAAAGTAAAAGTTTTTTCGCGTAATCGAATTAGTTTATCCGCTATAGAGCTCTTCCCCTTCCAGAGTTGAGTTTACCGTAATCCACACGAATAAAGGATAAAGGATAAAGCATTTGCCGTTGATCAATCCCTTTTTGGGATGCGGCACGCATTCTACTTCCATTTGTACATTCGTAGTGGCGTTTGAATGCGATGTGGCCTATACAATGACTTGCGGGGCCAGCCGATGTACAAGTCAGTGTTTTTATCCTCCCAGACAAGTCTGGTACCAAACCGACCCCGGAGGGATGGAAGGCTTGGTTGGCCCGGGCGACTCACGACCCAGGATTTGATCCCCGGACCCTCTCGCGTGAGCGTGCCACTTGCCACTTTACACCACTGCGAATAATGGCACCGAAATGTCCACCTAAGTACGTGAACACTCAAGAGATACGGATTGATGTCGTGTACGTGCCACGCGTCAAACATTAAACATTGGAAGAAAATCGGGAGCGGATTTTCTCGCGTAGTGCCACATGCGAGCTGCCGTCGTCGCGTCAGTGTCGTATCGTCGTTGTATTCAAGTTCAGTGTACAAGTTCGGTTTTGAAGGAGGTGAGCTTTTACAGGGAGGAGGCTCGTGGAGATGAACAGAATGAGTATTGTGGTGGGAGATTAGATTCGCACCACGTTTTTCATGTTTTCAAGGAGGATGTATTGTAGACGGGGTGTAGTGGTGTGTTCAACGGTGTACCGCATAGATGACAGTTGGAGAGATCCTCTCAGAAGAAGGGAATCGTGAAAAGTTAGAAATTCGGACGGCTTAGGACCCGCGCACACACAAGTCACAGAAGTGTCAGCACGGCTCTATCGAATGATGATCGAGATGTCAGTCAACTGATTACGATTTTAAGCCCGCTCTTTATATTTCAAACAGATCATAGAAATGAGTAAGGAGTATTGATTGCACACGCGTAAAATCAATAATCATTTAAAGTATGCTTGTTGATGTGATGAGCTAGAATGTGAGAGCATGCTCGCGCTATCGGTCAGGATACCGCCTGGCAAGAATTTAATGAATTTTTGTCGAGTACTACTGAACATGGCCTGATTTAGTAGTTTATGCTGAATTATTGAGATTGGGTCCTGAGTAGGAGATTATGTTGTAAGGTGCTATGTCTGCAATTGCGACAGCCCCTATAACAGGGTGTGGTTGTTGATTTTTGGTCTGCTGGGTGGTGAAACATCGTTGTCCACAGAAAATACGATTCATCTCAGTGAAGCAATATTGAAGCGATTCCACCGAGGGTTTTCGCCGCATTATAAATGCATTATGTGTTAATTGTCGAGTTAAAAAGTGTTTGGAATCTCACGGCAGGGTAACCTATTGCTTTTGATTCTGTCAGCCTAGCGGATTTTTAGCGATAACGTAGGGATATGGGAAAGCGCGGTATTCGACGTCCATTTCATCATTTTGCCCGTCGCGATTACCCCCAATGAGAACTGAAGCTCTCATTATTGACATGATATTTTCCACTATTGATTCCAGGTCTTCCCGGACGACCAGGTAACCCCGGTCGAGATGGGCCACCAGGATTGCCAGGGCTTGACGGCGCTCCAGGGTACCGAGGTGAAAAAGGACTCATGGGAATTGACGGCAAACGAGGACGAGATGGACTGGTATATTTGAACTTATTGAAGACACGCTTCTTTTTAAAAACGTCTCGTTCAGATGGGCATTCCTGGCGCACAAGGCCCTCCAGGAGACGGCTATCCTGGTATACCGGGCATCAATGGAGCTAAAGGTGAATCCGGTGATGTTGGTCTACCTGGACTCCCTGGTCCACAGGGTCCGCCTGGCCCAGCGGCACCTCAGGAGTTCTATCAAGGACGACCTGGACTGGATGGTGAGCCTGGAGTGCCTGGAGCACCTGGAGAAAGAGGAGCAGATGGACTGCCTGGCTTACCAGGACAGGTAAGTATTCCAACCTCTCCCTAACTTCCCAGTGATGGTCATTTATTTCATAACAGCGAATAATGTTGCCATTTTGCTTTCAGCCAGGTCCTCAAGGATATCCAGGACTGCCAGGAGAGCGAGGCGCTGATGGCCTTCCAGGATTCCCAGGTCTTCAAGGAGAGCCGGGCATGAGAGGAATCCAGGGAGATGTCGGTTTGAACGGACTCGATGGCGACTGTGGTGAACCTGGTGCTGATGGTTTCCCTGGCATACCAGGACTAGCTGGTGAGTGTACGGATTTCTTAACAATCCCCTGATCACATATTTGGTTCCTCAACATTAATTGTATGATTGCAGGAGAAAAGGGAGAACCAGGATATGGCTACCAAGGACAAGCCGGTTACCCAGGACCTAAAGGAGAGCTAGGTGATATGGGCCTACCTGGTCAGCCAGGACCACAAGGACTCCCAGGACTTCCTGGACCACCTGGCTATCCAGGAGAGCCTGGCGTACCAGGGCTCGATGGACCAGACGGCCAACCCGGTTATCCTGGTGAAAAAGGATTGCAAGGTCTCGATGGAAAACGCGGTCGGCCAGGCCTCAAGGACCATCCGGGCTGCCTGGTCTTCCTGGACTCAAAGGCGAACCAGGAAACCCAGGCTATCACGGACAACCAGGACGACGAGGCATCCCTGGCGACATGGGTCAACCAGGATATCCAGGACAAGCAGGACCTAGAGGACCTGATGGGCTTCCAGGAGAAGAAGGACTCATTGGATTCCCTGGACTTAGGGGAATCCCAGGTGACAACGGTGTGCCAGGAGAAGAGGGAGAATGTGGAGAAGACGGAGACAAAGGTCTTGACGGGCTTCCTGGAATGCCAGGAATGCCAGGAGAAGATGGTAGGTGGCTCATGTCTATTGATAATACCTCAGATGCTTAACATATGTTTTTGCTTTTAGGATACCCTGGACGACCCGGCCTGGATGGATTGCCCGGTCTGAAAGGAGAGATGGGCGAGGCAGGACTACCTGGAGCTCGAGGACTGCCTGGAGAGCCTGGATACCTTGCTCATCCAGGACCACCAGGAGATGTTGGCTATCCAGGACCTGAAGGACCTCCTGGCCTACCCGGTCTTGACGGCATACCTGGTTTGAAGGGTGAGATGGGTGAACCTGGCGACAGTTATCCTGGCCTGCCAGGGTCCCCAGGTGCGCAAGGAGAACCAGGCTACGATGGAACGGACGGGCCACCTGGACAACCTGGTCTTCCTGGCATGACTGGAATCCCAGGACTGAAAGGAGAAGGTGGTGAAGCGGGATATCCCGGAGCACCTGGCCTAGATGGACTTCCTGGAGTACCTGGAGTGGAGGGTGATTGCGGAGACGATGGATACCCAGGAGCACCTGGTCTGCCTGGATCTCCTGTAAGTTTCTTTAAAATGTGTACATTGACATTACCATTGCTACCATAATCTCTTTAGGGCTTCCAAGGACCTCAAGGAGAAAAGGGCTATCCCGGACTTCCTGGCGAGAATGGCCTGCCTGGTCTGCGAGGAACTCCTGGACTACCAGGACTGAAGGGAGAACGAGGAGAACTGGGACTTCCAGGCTATAATGGCGCACCTGGCGAGATAGGAGCACCTGTAAGTCTTCTTCCAATTCCAATACTGAATGCTATAGATTTCTGAAATTGTTGCAGGGCGACTTGGGCATTCCTGGACCACCTGGACCTGAAGGAGATTCTGGATTCCAAGGACGAGATGGAATACCAGGTCTCAAAGGCGAGCGTGGAGAACCGGGACTGCCTGGATACCCAGGCAAAGACGGACTTCCTGGTCCACGGGGACCTCCTGGAGATGAAGGATACCCTGGACCTCCTGGACCTGATGGTTACGGTCAACCCGGAGCACCTGGAGAGCCGGGACTGCCGGGTTCAGACGGTATACCTGGCGCTCCAGGAATACCTGGAGAACGAGGAAGCGACGGATATCCCGGAGCCCCAGGAGCTCCCGGCCTTCATGGAGAGCCCGGAGTGCCTGGTATACAAGGAGAAATGGGACTTCCTGGACTTGACGGCAAACGAGGTGAGTCTGGTCGATGTTACTCTGAAAATGTCCAGTTCTCGAGTGTATGCGTGCTATGGGCGACAACTGCAAATACGCACCTCTCCTTAAGTCACGATTCCGCTCCTTTTTTATTTGACTGAAAATAGCCAAGAAAAAGAAAGGAAAAATGAAAATGGCCGAAAATCAAGTGCCCGGCTAGGTTTTCCTCGGAGTCTCGTAGCATCTCCTCATCACCGAAAAGAACGTTCGCGTTAAGGAAATAGGCTCTAGATCACTAATTGCGGAGTACCGTATTCATCTATGATTTTTTTCCTGACCTCCCCAAACCGGAATATCGACATATCTTTTCGTGGTGGGTGTATAAGCCAGGGTTTCTGTCCTGGGCGAAATGCCAGAGAGCCAAACTCCACCCGCACACGCTGAAGAACCAGCCTTTCGGCGTGATCAAACGCTTTAGTGAGCCCACACATTCTATATCCATCCAGGCATAGTTGTGGCAGTGGTTGCGTTGGTCTCTCAATTACGTGCGGAGGCCCAGCCGTGATCATCTTAGCTTCTCCTATCTTCCTGAACGCCTTGTGTCATTTGAACAAACCCGAAGAGATGGAGGCTTGGTTGGCCTGGGCGAAACTCGACCAGCTCCCGACCCGGACGCGGGATGTGGCGCAACTTACCACTACACCACATCCGCCATTGGCATAATATCAGTTAAACAGGCTTTTATTCAACATTTGTTCTTCATTCACAATTCTTTTCGGCAACTACTCGATCTAAAATGTGTTTATTGGGAGGACAACTGTAAAACTACATATAAGGTTACCGTATTTACTCTTTGCACACAGCCAAACGAGCTATATGTGGTATTTTTTACGTGCACCACGTTTACTGAATGAGTATAAAGATAATCGCTCCAGGACATGACGGACTACCAGGACTGCCGGGAACGGCAGGTCTGGACGGCATTCCTGGTGCACCTGGTGACTGCGGTGACGATGGCCCAGCTGGAGCACCTGGACGTGATGGAACTCCTGGTTATCGAGGAGAACGAGGAGTACCAGGTAGGCTCAATGAAGTGGTGAGTGATAGAAAGCCGCTTATTGAATGCTGAGCTGTTTAGGACCACCTGGATATCAAGGTCAAAAGGGAGACGACGGTTTCCCAGGTCTACCTGGAATTCCTGGTATCAAGGGAGAACGTGGATTGGACGGATTGCCGGGATTGCCTGGAATTGATGGTCGTCCTGGACGTGAAGGACCACCTGGAATTCCCGGAGCTGAGGGCATCAGATTGATAAGCCCGCCAGGAGAACCTGGACAACCAGGTTGGCCAGGAGAGAAAGGCTACCCTGGATTGCCTGGAGATAACGGTATTTTTTCTTGTTCGCTAGGTTCTCAACAATAATATGCATGGCGGAGAATTGTAAACTACTTTTTGTTTGCAGGACAACAAGGCCCACCAGGGAAGGCTGGATACCCCGGACCACCAGGAGAAGGCAGGCCTACCGGGTCTTCCCGGAATACCCGGACCGAAAGGCGAAATCGGTGTTCCAGGACTTGTTGGAAACCCTGGACGTGTTGGTCAGCCAGGTTTCCCAGGTCCACCGGGAATACCAGGTGGACCGGGACCATGGGCGCCTTCAAGAGGTTTCACCTTTGCCAAGCATTCTCAGACAACACAGGTTAGCACCTTACGCCAACGGCTTTTTCTTATTTCAAATAGATTATCTACACCAAAAATTACATTTATACAGAGCGATTCCAATCCTTTTCATATCAAGAACCGCTGCTTTAATTTTCAGATTCCTACATGTCCGAACGGAGCCACTCCTCTCTGGACTGGTTATTCTCTTCTCTACGTACAAGGAAACGGAAGATCTAGTGGGCAGGACCTCGGTAAGGATGGAGGTTTTGAATGCATTCACGAACCCTCTATTTCGGAAAGCGGAGTGACGACGGCCAAGTAAATGTGGCTTTTTCTTCTCCTCTTCCTGGCAGTCGTAACTTGTGGTGTTTGGTCTGTACCTCTACGCTCTTCTCGTTTTCCGAAATAGAAGGTATCTATGTGCGTTTCCATAGATCGCGTCTGATTGCATACATTATACGAACGGAACAAGCTTGATTCAAGCACGAATTTAGGAGGGTATTAAATGTCAGCAGAGGGAAATTCCTTTGAAAACTCATATGTATAAGAATAGGCGCAATTACTCCTGGCAGGGTGATTGGGAGGGCTGAACGAGGAAGGAAATCGGCGAGAAGGTTTAAGCAGTGATTGCAAAGAAGCTGAGAACTGTTGAAAAGAGCACAGAATTAACATCCGGCGTTGATCAGCCCCTTTTGGGGTGCGCCATGTACTCCACTTCTATTCAGCATGGCATTCCAATTCGGTTCCTGTGCAATGACTTGCAGGGGCTAGCCGCCGTACGAACCAGGTATTCTTGTCCCCTTGAACGATAATGTACCGATTGACCAACCCCGGCAGGATGGAACGTTTGGTAAGCCCGGACAAGAACCGATCCCCGATTCAACCCGACGTGTGTGCGTGGTAAGTGGCGCCACTTGCCACTACATCGCTTAATAGTTTCAAAGAGAAGCTTGCTGAATAACTCTCGGTACACGCCATAAATGGGAGGTATAGAATCCAACCTATCCACCCGAACAGCTATTTTGACAAATTTCTTGACAACAGATAGGGTTGCATCCAACTACTCTCTCCCAGAAACACATGTGCTTGATGAAAGATCGACATATGTCCTGCCTATGCTCTCAACTGTCTAATCGAGGCCCTCATACTCTTGCGTCAAATCAATGCAAGCTCAATTTCAGGTCAAGCGGGCTCATGTCTCTCTAAATTCAACACGATGCCGTTCATGTTCTGCAATCTGAACAGTGTCTGTCATCTGTCAAGCAGAAATGACTATTCGTTCTGGCTGAGCACTGAAGAACCGATGACGCCTATGATGAATCCGGTGCGTGGGTCCTTGAGAACTAACATTTTGATAATTTCAATTGTCTTTGAACTAAGCCTCAATGTCAATTCTTAGCTGTTAAAAACAAAATCGCCATAAATTCGACGTTACCCTGACGTGGTCAGAATTTGAGGGGGTACATCGATGGCTGACGAAGTCATTCATTTGCGTTCACAAATAACTTTGTGAAGAGTATGCCCCCAGCGGCTCAGAAGGACCATAAACGCGCCGCGGCACGCCCGCCCTCCCGCTGCCTGAACCTAGCCATTCAGCAAACAGAGCTACAGCGTTGAAAAGTGCAGGACCCATGAGCTCGCATCACTGCTGAAATCAGGACAGAGAAAGACAAAGCGCTCAGGTTCTGGTTCCGGACCGTTTTTCCAGTTTTTTCATCCTTGCATAGAATCACAGCTCATAGAAAACTGTAACCCTCATAAATCTCAAAAAAAAAAACCCGGAAATCACACAGTTCATATCAGCTGGCAGGAAAGTCTTACTTTTATCGACGAACCTCCCGATGCAATCCTCAGTTAAACTTGTTTCCGCAGGGAGATGATCACAGTTTCTCCTTATCAAAAAACCTTTGACCTCTCTTCGTTGGAAAGTCATAACTGCTTCCAATAGATCAATTGCAGACGACGTTGTTGACCTATAAAAACAGTATATTGACATTTCAAAAGAATCTTTGCACTTACTTCAGTAACCATTACTCATAGTTAGTTGGACGCCTCCGTAAAATCAAAAACCGAGTGTGTTTTAAAAGCGCCTGGACCATCATGTTTGACGCTTGCCTCCGGTTTGACTCAAATGGCCAAAATAGC